AGCTTCCATTGTCATGTTGCCATAGTCCCCATCAAAACCAGTTCTGATTAATCTCCTTTGTCCGTGAGTCCTTTGCCATTCCCTGTCACTCCTCCCTGAGAGAGATTTCACCCTGATTCATAAGGAAAATGGGGCAGCGGACTCTCTTAGCTACTTCCTCAAAACAGCTAAGTTTACAACAAAATCATAGAAATATAATTGAGGCTTTTAAGTTATGAATTAAATTTTTCTCTAATTCTTATTATAATAAAAACTGTCCTCTGAGATTAAAAGTCCCCCAGCAACTTCTTACTTCAACTGTCTTTAAAATCCACATTGACTCATTAATCCTTCCTCTATCAAGATTCCATGAGAAATTGATTTTTACATTTTCCCCTGTAGTATTAATTTCCTTATTTATTTCCCTCCCCTTTTCTGTTCTCTCAGAGGTACCCACTGAAACCAAGAAGAACCTTAGGGAAGGAAGGTAGTTTAAAAGAGCCGGATGCCTCCCCTTATGATGGACACAAGAAGAAGCGCTGCTCATCAATTAGCTCTCCACTCTTCACCAGAATTCAGCAGCTTATCTTGTGGTTTCCGTCTCCTCTCTCTGTTGAACTAAGGGCTTTCTAACCTGATATAGAGAAGCGTGGGAGCCAAGACAGCAGAATTTGCGGGACTCTGCTTTCCCTGCCCCAAGGAAGGGAAGCAGGTCAGTGTGAAACTTCAATCACTTATCATCTTAAGTAAACCCACGCGAGTTAAACTAACTTTCTGTGGAAGGGTAAGACAGTGTACTAGACATTGAAGTACATCTAGCTTTCAACTAGCTTTAGTTCAAAGGCCAGGTATTGTGGATGAATGTTCCACAGTAAATGGAGATGAGAAAGTCAAGCATTTGAAGAACAGTATTTCTAAGATGTTGGCGAATAGAAACCACATACGTTCGTGTCTTCCCTTTCAGAGCAAAAAGCAGGAAAAGTGTGAGTAAAGGAAGCATTCATAACAGATATTAAGAGTCTGCTTAATAGTAAATATTAATCTCCTCAGCTGTATTCATATACAATAAGGGGGGGGAATCACTCTACATCTGTATAAAAATTTTTTTAATAAGGCTACACACACTTAATAAATTATCGCCATTGATTCACTTACCTACTGAAATAGCCAGGTCACCATTGGTGGCAAACCTACTTAAACACTTTAATATAATCTCCAAACACCCTTCTTTGTTGAATATAGACACTGCTCTACTACTGCATTCACTAAATTAAAAGGGGGAAAAAAAAAGTTTTACTATTCATACTTTAACATTAAGAAGTCAACCAAAGACACTCATGAGATCAAGAATTAGATTTACAGAACCATTGAATTGGAGTCAAACATCCACTATTTTATAGAAACCGATGTCCATTCATATCCACCACACATTTCATTTCTAGCACAGAGGAACCTTTCAGGCAATGTGTTTACCTTATAGTATCAATTTCCTTACAAAATGTTAGAGCTAGAAGAGTTTTTGGAATCATTTAATTCAATTTTCCATTTCCAAGCTGAACAAATGAAGGCTCTAAGAGGTCAGGTAAGTGATCTGTCCAAAGGCAACCTATTGTGTAAGTGGTAGAGGTAGGCGCTATATGTAGGATCCCTGAGTCCTGCCTAGTCCTTTTTTCTACCAGTCGTGATGAGTTAATGATAAAAATCCCTACAATTATTACAAAAAAAAAAAAACAACACAAAAACCCAACAAAATCATAGTTATTCGTTCCTTTCAGACCACTGATAAAATTTTTGGCGCCTTCCTGTTGTTGTGTACCATCAAGTCGGAACCAACCCATGGCTGACCCTTCAGAGGGCTTTGAGAGGCAGTAAATGGCAAGGCAGGAGACTGCCCATCCTTCTCCCATGGAGGAGTTAGTGGCCTCGAACTGCGCGCCTTTGGGATTGCAGCGCAGCTTCTTGCTGCAAAGGCACCCACCAGGCTTAGGGGTTACTGTTACAATTTTTGTAAGCAGAACTTAAGAGTGTGCAACAGAGAAATTACTATAATTCTTTAAAAAAATAGCACTGCTTTTTAAAAAAAATCAGAAAGCTTACCTTATTAAAAAAAAGTAAAACATGCTGAATAGAATAAGCAAAGCTAAACAGAATCATGTATGCATTTTCCAGAGAAGTATAATCTATGCATAACACACATAAACATGATAAGGCAGTAGTTAATAGAAGTGACAAAATCCTTCAATTCAATCCTATTTAAAGATAAAACTCTTTGTTTCTGTTTACGCATAAGACCCTCCAACAAGCCTTCCTTTGAGAATCTTATAATTTAAATTGAAAGGGCATGTGCCAAGGATATTTAAGATGTATGAAGCAACAGTTAGCTATGATAACTCTAAGTGATACATAAGGAACTCATACACATTAAAAATAATAAAGAAATAAAAAAATAATAAAGAAATCATTTAGAAGTTATACTCAGGCTCTTTTCAAAGAATTTAAAAAAATGCTCGATCCTATTTACTAGTTATTAGATAAGCATTAGAGTGGTGGTGGTTGTTGCTGTGTATCCCTGAGTCGGAGCCGACCCACAGCTGACCCTCTGCTGGGCTTTCAGAGGCAGTTAATCACAAGGGAGGAGACTGCCCGTCCTTCTCCCATGGAGCAGCTGATGGACTCGAACCACGTGAACCACTTGCCTTCAGGACTGCAACACAGTTCTTGTCACTAGGCCACCAGTGGGTCTCAAAGAATGTTTTTCAAAAAGTACTCTAAAGTTCAACAATGCATCTGGTTAACATTACCCAGGACAACAGAAAAATCGTCTCCATGCATTTGCTCAGATGCCACTTTCTCAGAGCTGCCCTGTTCTCTCCATCTTTGCTGACAGAATGTATCTAAATAGTTTAAAACAAGTTCTGATGTCTGGGGAGAATCCTATGCAATCTTGCATTCTAAAAAAAATACCTGTGCTTTTAGGCCAGAAGTTAAAATCACTATCGATTGAAAATAAGGAATCATGACAGAATCTTACTAGCAATACAGGGACATAAAACAGGATGGTGTGTGTGTGTGTGTGAATTCCTGATTGTTTTTATAGCCATATTCATTGCTAGTAGCACGCCCACCCCACTCCCATCATTGCTACAATCATGAAAGACAAAGTTGTCTGAGCTTGACCCCTTCTCCCTACTGGGCCAGGGAAGCCCTTCTTATTTATGTTTCCCTGTCACGTAACTGCCAGAGTGAAGGAAGAGAGCAACAGCCAATCCCTGTGACCCCCATGCCTCCAGATGTCAAAACAAGGCAGTCACTGTGCTGGGACCTGACCAGCTTTCAGACAAATGCTGCTCAGGGTATATGGTTAATGAAGGGAAAAGAAGCTACATTAAATGCTGAAGGTTGTGATTCATCTTATGCTGTGGGTAACAATGAATGGAGCGAAGAGATGTCAAACACACACATACAAACAATGTGATGCTATGAGGAAAAGGGCATGTGAAAGAGCATTATCTTCAGTCATTCAAAATTACCTTTTGCCTGGTATCATTGCAGAAGTTCCAGGACCACCAAAGGAACAGATTCCTATGTGGCTGAACAGACAGCAGCAGTCTGAACAGCACTGTAGCAAGAGGCTATGGGTGAAAAGGAGCTTACCATATATTCCACAGAATGTTCACAGCCTCATTGGCTATGTTCTCAATGGGATTTTCGTTCTGATCTTTTTTATCTTGTGGAGATACCTCGTGTCCATCCAGGCCAGCACTACACTGAAATCAAATGCCACGATTAGCATGCGGGTTCAAAAGAATAATGAACAAAAAAAAATGACATGGGTGAAGAATCTCAAAAATGAAACATCATAAATTATGGTGGTTAACAAGCATCACAGTTAAAACAATCCTGAAAGCCCTTCCCACAAAAAGCTACAAGTGACAAAGGCTCCCTCGCCTTCACGCAAACTAGATAGAAGAGATGTCATACTTTTCATGAAAATGTAAAATCAATGCATGATATTTTCTAGTATGGGATGAGAGACAGTAAAAACAAGAAAGAAAAATAACACCTAGTAGGAGCAAAGGGAGCTCTGGCCTAGTGGAAAGGAACTACGCCGCAACCCCGAAGGTATGAAGTTCAAATCCACCAGCGGCTCTGCAAGAGAAGGATGGGCAATCTCCACCTCCCGTGTGATTAAACTGCCACTGGAAACCTGCTGAATAGTCAGCTATGGGTCGGTTCCAACTTAATGGTATACAAACAACAATAGGAGCTAACACCCGTACAAGAAGGCCTGGAATGGTTAATAAAACCACCCGGGCATCTGCTCCTATAAAGATTACAGCCTGGAAACTCCTATGGGTCAGATCCACGATGTTATACAGGGTCAAAAAGGTGTCAGAATCAACTCAAGAAAGGAGTTAGAATCAAGTCAAAGGCATGTATCTATACAGCACTTTTTATGCATAAGGCACCATTCTAAGTCCTTCACACACATTAAGTCATTTAGTCCTTCCTACAAACCTACAGACAAGAAAACTATTGCTCTTGGAGACTGTAAACGTATAGCTTAGTAACCCCGATGTGATCTAGCATTTAGACTCAGGCACCGTGTTTCAAAGCTGGCGCTCACAACCACTCTGAAGCCCCTTGAACATGACCTGTAGCATCATGGAAGGCAGGTTTCTCAATATTGGTACTGGTGACAGTCTGGGCAGACTCATTTCTATCGGAGGGACTATCTCGGGCACTGTGGAATGCTTATCCAGATCTCTGACTTCTGACCTCTAGGTGCCAACTATTAACGTCAAAAATGTCTCAAAATGTTCCCTACGGGGGAAAACACCACCAGCCAAGAACCACTGCTCTAAGGGGAACATGAAGGCGGATGCCTGTCATCAAAACTGGGTACCATTTATGACGCCTTAAGTCAAAAGTATCCACCGATACAGAACAGTGGGCACACCGGATAGTGAGCTCCCAGACCCCAGAACACATCATGCAGTAAGACTGATGCAATCCTAATGATGAGAACTTCATCTTCATCATGTTCCCAAGATCTATTTCAACTTCATTAGTAAACTAGGAATTAAATGAAAATAAACAAAACATCAAATGGTCCTGGCACATAAATAAACTACCAATAATATATAGTAATGATTTCTACTGTTGTTGTTGTTGTATATACTGTCGAGTCAGAACCGACTCACAGCTGACCTTCTGGTGGGTTTTCAGAGGTAGTTCACAGCATGGGAGGAGACTGCCCATCCTTCCCCTACGGAGCAGCTGGTGGATTCAAACTGCGTGCCTTCACCATTGCAGTGCAGCTTCTTGCCACTAGGCCACCCACCAGTGCTCCCTGACTTTACTGTACAGAGTTTAAAGTCTAGTAAGTTTTAGGGGCTTTTACCCCCCGATAAAACCTGTGGTTGGTGTTGTTATGTGTTGCTGAGTTGGAATCAACTCATACCTAACTCCAGTGGCTTTTCAGAGGCTATAAAATCACAGAGGAGGCAACTGTCCTTCTCCCATGGAGTAGCCGGTGGATTTGAACCGTCTGCCTTTGGGTTGGCAGCACAGCTCTTTCCACTAATTACTCTTTATCCACTTATTTCTGTCTTCCCAGACTGTAAATCCCATGGGAGGAGACGGCCCATCTTTCTCTCATGGAACAGCCAGTAGATGTGAACTCTGTGTGCGCACCTCAGAGGTGGCAGCGACACTCATGAACAACAGCCCACCAGCACTCCCGAAGTCACCAGGTAACAGGGACAAAATAATAGACCAGCCTAAAGATGAAGAGAACGGATCCATGTTGCCGGAAAAAGAAATGAAATTCCCCTGGGGTACTCTGAGGGAAAACAAAAGTAGCTACTAGGAATTACTCAACTTATTAAAACTAAGTGTGTGGATAAAAAGCTCCATGAGAAAGGACTACGCAGACAGTTTTAAAATGACATACCTCTTTGAGCAAGGCAACCAGCGGGGTCATGACGTCCTTAGTCACCATGTCATCACAGACATCAAAACCACCACAGGCACTGAGGTTTCTACAAAACAAGTCACAATACAGTTCATGGCCAGACTGTACGTCATAAAACACGAGCAAAGTCAAATTCATTTCTCTTTTAGCAATACTGAAGGCATCGCAGAGGAAATCCACTTACTCTGTAAGGTGCTACAGAAACTGCGTTCTGACACTTGTTCTACACGATGTAAATAAATGCCTTTGTCATATAACATATTCTGTAAAATGTTATAATATGAATCATACTATATTGTTGTTGTTGCTGTTATGTGCCATCCAGTCACCTGCGACTCATAGCAACCCTATGTACAATAGCCCTGAACCCTGCTCTAACCTGAGGCAACTTTACTGTCTCTGACACACCTACCTTCACTACCCCAGTCACTGAATCAATCCATCTCATCAATGGTGTTTCTCTATGATGTTATAATACATGTGATGGAATATGAATAATGTTGTAAGATAAATAAGTATATTCAGATAACGTATTCAGTCCTAAAGAGATCTAAAACAGTACACAACACTTTACAACTGTATGGTTGCACGAAACGGAGACTGGAGAAGACATTTCCTACTTAATATGACTAAATCACAGACTGGTAACATGCCCTTGAACCTTTTTAAGGACAGCAAAGAATGACATTTCTGAAACCACTCAGGCTAAATTCAATCTTCATTAAAAAGACACTGCTCAACTGCTTAGTGCAGAGCAGTGAGGATACAAAGGGAAATGAAAAGAGGCCCTCTAATCTTCCAGGAGTTCCTGGTGTGTCTATGATTGGTAGGGAAGGAAACAGCTTTCCTACCAGCTACTTCCTGCCCAGTGGTAGAAGGGTATCTACTCTCCTCCAGTCAAACAGTGAACTCCCTCTCATCCTCCTGATCTCATGGCCAGAGCTTAACACAGTTCCTGAAGGAGACATGAAACATATATTGCTAAGCTGGTGAGGAGGGACTTTCTGAGAGACATCATGCTTCGAAAAGTAGAGGATCAGTGAAGAAAGAAGACCCTTAATGAGATGGATTGACAGAGCAACTGCAACAATTACTTAAACACAGCCGAGAGGGTGAGGAGGGTGCAGAGTTTTGTGCTGTTGTATACCCAGAGCCACTGGGAGTCGGAAATGATGTGGCAGCGTCTGACAACAAACCGCTGAGTGAAAGAAAGAGTAAACACTGACAAAGGTATGATAAGAACTAGGAATAGGAACTTCTGCACTTGCTCTGTCTACAGTCCATTCTTGGCACAGTCACCAGAATGGATCTGTCAAAAAGTCAGCATTTATTAGTAGTTGTTTGTTGCTGTTAGTGTTGTTATGTGCTGTCGAGTTGCCTGCAACTAGACCCTCTGTACAACAGCTCTAACCTCTGCTCTATCCTGTGCCAATCTCACTGTCTCTAACACACTTACCCCCATTATCCCTGTCACTCAAATCAATCCATCTCATCAAGGGTCTTCCTTTCCTGTGCTGTCCCTCCACCCTCCCAAGCACGATGTCCCTCTCCAAGGACTGATCCCTCCTTTGCAAGATGTCCAAAGTATGTCAGACAAAGCTTCAGAATCCTTGTCTTCAAGGAGTAGCCTGGTTTAACCCTCTCCGGGATGACCCTTTGAAACTACACTATGAGCTCTTATTCACCTCTCCAGGGTTATTTCCTTTCACTAGTCAGAAGTGCCCTGGAGAAACAAAGTATGATGAGTTGGAGCTAGGAAGTTCCTTTCAACTGGATCCTCCCTAGATGACATTTGAACTGAAACCTGAAAGATAAAGTGAACCAGTTCTGGGGGAAAAATATATACTGAAAGAGTATTCTTGAGATAGTGAACAGCAGGAGCAAAAAAGTGAAGTAGTAAAAGTCTTGGAGTCATCAAAGAATGGAAGGTTTTTGTGGCGAAGTAGGGAGTGAGGAGTTAAAGGAAATGGGACTGGAGAGAGACAAGGGCTCACAGTACAGGCATTAAGGTGCAGGACTCAAAGGATGGAAAGGACCACTACCATAGAAATCATATGCAAGTAAAATCTCACTGAAAATTACTTGAAAACCGGCCCTCTCATCAACAGAGAACTGCCAGAAATTCAACCTGGATTCAGGAGAGGTACATGGGATATCACTGCCGAGCTATCAGATCGATCTTGACTGAAAGCAAATAATATTAACACATTGCTGCAAATGACAGTAATATATATAAAAAAATGTATTTCTAAGAACGGTCGTCAATTTAAAAGTGTGTGGCAACGTGTTAAAAAGATATCTGTTTTATTGGCTATGCAAAGGCATTTGACTGTGTGGATCATAACAAACTATAGATAACAATGAGAAAAATGAGAATTCCAGATAATTTAATTGTGATTATGTGAAACCCACATAGAGAGGAAGAAACTTTGCTGTCTGCAGAGCACACTGCATGGTTTAAAATCAGGAAAGGTGTGTGTCAGGGCTGTATCCTTTCTTCATACCTGTTCAGTCTGTACACTGACTGACCAAATGACTCAAGAATTTGGACTATATAAAGAAGAATATGGCATCAGGATTGGAGGAAGACTGTTCAATAACCTGCTTTATACAAATGACACACCTTGCTTGCAGAAAATAAAGAGGACTTAAAACACTTTCTGCAGAAGATCAACGATCTTCAGTATGGATTACATCTCAACATCAAGAAAACAAAGCACCTCACAACTGGACCAACAGGCAAAATTGTGACAGATGGAGGAAAGTCGCGAGATACAGACATGTTACACTGGGAAAATCTGCTGTAAAGGACTTCTCTGAAGTTCTGGAGAGCAAAGACGTCAGTTTAAAGACTAAGGTGTGCCTGATCTTTTCACTTACTTCCTGTGCATCTCGAAGTTGTACAGTGAATGAGAATGACAGAAAAAAGACTTGATGCCTTTGAATTGCTGAGCTGGAAGAGTACTGACTATGCCATGGCCCACAAAAAAAAATCCGTCTTGGAGGAAGTGTGAACAGGGTTCTCCTTAGAGGCAAAGGTGATGAAACTGTCTATCTCATACTTTGAGCATGTTCTCAGGAGGGCGACCTTGCCACAGCTCGTTGCTAAGGCCACCCAGTCCTTGGAAAAAGGCATCATGCTGGGAAAGAGAGAAGATCCTCAATAAGATGGACTGACATAGTGGCCACAGCGATGGGCTTGAGTGTACCTCAGTGATGGCTCATGATACGCCAGGGTTCAGATCGTTGTTCACATGGCTGCTAGGAATACCAGTCTGCTGGATGGCACCTAATAACAATATTCTCTTATCTCTTATACACTTGTTTCCTAGCTTCCTGACTGTCTCTGCATCAACACAGGTTCTGTGACAAGGATCTTGTCTGACTTACTGTCCTACCTGTCCAAAATCTCCTACACTTAAGAGTTGGTACATACATTGACTTACTGCAGGGAAAAACAACGAAATTAAAAAGTCAAGTTAACCACATGATTTTATGCAGGCATCTAGAAGGAAAGATAACGATGTGCTGTCAGATTTGAGGGTGAGGAAGCCTTGTAGAGTGGGTGTCGCAATGAAAACAAGATAAGAGATGGAATGCATGTGGTCTGAGTATCCTCCAGAGTCCCAATGTCTGACTTCAAAATCCCTATCTGCCAACAATGTGAGTGAGACACTAAACAGGTTATTCACCCTCTTAAATCCTTAAAGACAGACCTCCCACCACTGCAGTGAGGATAATAAAAACAAGGTAACAGACTGGGTAAATGATGCAACGAGTCCCCGGGCAGCCCCGCTGTCTCACCTGAGCGCGCCGGCCGCTGTCTCCCTCACTGCCAGGCTGGGGTCCAACAGCAGCGGCCCGAGCTGGCGCACCGCATCCCGGTGAAGCACCCAGGGCAAGACCTGCCGCTGCTGCACCAGGCGCGCCAGTCCCGCGCAGGCGCACTCGCGAACCTCGGCGCTCGGATGCTGGAGCTGCGGGAAAGCCGGGGAGGCGAGGTGTCAGGACGAGGAGCGCCCACGCGCGGAGATCGGCAAAGTCCAGGAGCATGAAGGGTCCAGGAGAAACCATCGGACAGCACGGGGTAGGAGGGCTCCGCACCAGACGGCCCTGCCTCCCCTGCCCGGCCACGACTCACCTTTCCCAGCAGCTCCGCCGCCGGCCCATCGTCATCTTCTCCCGCAGTCCCATTCTCCAGCGGGGTCTCAGCCTGACAGTCGCCGGTCGGGGAGAAGTGAGGTCGCTTGAAGCGTTTCATCCGGCTCTTGCCCATTGCGGGTATGCACCGAGAACACCTTATGCAAGATGACAAGCTGGTGGCAAAGATTCGTCCCGAAGACGGCTGGGTGCCCCTGTTCGGCGAGTTCTGAGACTCAAGAGGAAGAAAGTACTCAGCACCCTGCTCACGAGGAGACGAAGTGCGCAGCCGCGGAGCGAAGGGCGGAGCCAGATTCGGCCGATGGGCGGGTCCAGTGGTTTTCCGCGGAAGGAGGCTAGACTGCCACCTAGCGGCCTGGTCCTTTATCAAGTTACTCAAATTGACCAAACTTGTCTCTGCAATAATAGAATTAACTAACATGCTGGACTTGGAAGCAGGAGTGGCATCCACTTCCACAGTAGTTTGACTCTGGAAACCCTATGAACCTGGAGAAAGGACGAAAGTTATACAGGACTTTCATTCATAGGGTCGCTATGAGTCACTTGCAACTCAATGGCATTTACCACCACCACCACCACCACCAAAAGCATAAAAAGAGGGAGCAGTTGGCCTAGCGGACAGAAAGCCATGCTCCCAAGCCAAAGGTGGGTGACTTTACACTGCGGCCGTCAGGCCTGCCATTAAATGTTTTTGGTGAAACATTCTTCGAGGTCGTGTAACCCTGGTGTGTCCACTTGCTGTACGGAGGTAACTCGTGGTCGCTGTGAAGCCGAACATTGTGACACTGATGAGTCAAATGTGAGAATGGTTACCCATGGTGGACAGTGTTTGGTGAAGCTCCCCGGTTAAAACAAGCTTGGAAGCAGGAGTGACATCCACTTCCACAATAGTTTGCCTCTGGAAACCTGAACCTGAATAGAGGATGTAAATTATACAGGAGGTGTCCAGGACCTTCATTCATAAGGTCGTTATGAGTTGCCTGCAATTCGATGGCACTTACCAACAACAACGACATGCTGGAAAAAGTAGAGGGTCAGAGAAAGAGGGGAATACTCTAAACAAGATGCATTGACACGGTAACTGTGACTGTGGCTGGAGCCGATCAGGTATGAGGACAACAACGCAGGATGGGCAAGGTTCACATCTGTTTTTCATAGGGGCGCTGTGAGTCCTAGCCCGCCTGAAGGAACTGAGCAACAGCAACAATAAACTTAAAAGATAAAGAGTTCCGGAGGCACAGTGCACAGGGAGGTGCCCTGCAAACGCAAAGGCCTGCCTCTCCGCCAGTTCTAATCCATCAGCAGCTCTGCAGTACCTCCCGTTAACGCCTCCAAAAACCCACTCGAGGGTCAGTTATGAGTCAGACTCCACGCTAATGCATTAACACTTGGGAAGTTCATCTTCTCACCTTCCAACGCTCCCAGACTCGTGCTTCGTATTATTGCCAGTAAGGCTCTCTGCCTTGTAAAGGGGCAGGAATTTCTCCCTCACTAGCAAGAAGGAGCAAGTGAGAGACTAGAATTTTCTTTCACACAATCAAAAGTATTTATTAAGAGAGAAAGGAAAACACCCTTTAAAAAGGGAGATACTGAATGGCAGGAAAAAGAACCCCACACTTGAGGCTCCCTGAGCTGGAAAAGCTGCAGTTAGTTATAAAGAGGTCTAGGGGAGCAGGAGTTTCACGTTTATGCATAAAGGCAGATGGGAAATTCCAAGAAATGGGTTTGCAGAGGTGGGTTATGATAGTTAAACGTGCACGCATCTAATCTTTAAAGACGGAACCTATTGCAGAGGCCACCGGGTTATGTTGTTAGGTAACTTCGAATCAATTTATAGGAACCCTGTGAATAACGGATCAGAACCCTGCCCTATCCCGTGCCATCCTCACCATCTGTGACACACTTGAGCCCACTCTTAGAGTCACTGTCAGTCCACTTCCCTGAGGGGCTTCCTCGCTTTTGCTGAGCCTCCACCTTTTCCAGCTGGCTGTGTCTTTCCAAGGCCTGACCTCTCCTGACAACAAGCCCAAAGGAACACACACTTGGGCTCATGCAGTGGTGTCTGAAGTCTCAGTGGCAGATACACTGGATAGTTTGTGGCACGCCCTGAACGGTGAATCACAGCGCAGAGCCTTGGGATTTGGGAGCAAACTGTCATGCTCTGTGGCTAACTCTTATTTTGAGAAACAGCTTTTGGCTCACTACTGGGTTTCAGATCACTCATCACAGATCATCAATCCACTGTACTGCAGAGCTGCCCATCATGAACTGAATGCTGTCTAATCCACAGAGTCATAGAGTTGGATGTGCACAGTGGCAACTCATCATTAAAAGGAATGGTGTATGTGGGAATCAGGCTTGAGTGGGACTTAAAGGTACAAGCTGCTTGAAGAGGTGGCCCAAATTCCCCTGGTCTTCCTGTCACGCTGCCTTCTGTCTCCCATTTGGCACCTGTGGCCTCATCGGGAGTTATCTACAGCCAGTTGAGTGAGGAAGAGAAGACATGTCTGATATGCAGGCATCACTTGGAAGGAGACCGTGGCAACGCGGCAGCCCATTTCTGGGATCTCCCTAAGGCAGAGTAATGAAGGCAAATCTTCCAAACGGGCGGGACATTGAACAGGGCATCTGTTTGTTTGCTTTATTTGGAAGTAGAAATGACCAGGTGCATAATTATATATGGATTCATAGGCTATAGTCTGGCTGGATAGTCAGGAACTCAGAAAGAACACGACTATAAAATTGGTGACAAGGAGGTCTGAGTGAGAAGTATGTCAATAGATCTCTCTGAATGGGCCAAAGGAATGAAGATGTTTGTTTCATGAGGATGTACACCATGACAGCAGCAGAGGAGGACTTTAACAATCAAGTGGACAGGAGAATATCTGTGGGAACCAATCACTGCTCCACTCTGATCACTGACCGGTGGGCTCCTGAATAGAGTTGCTATGGTGACAGGGACCTGGCCACATGGACTTCCACTTCCCAAGGCCTATTTGGCTACAGCCACTGCTGAGTGTCCAAACTGTCAGCCATAGAGAGCAACACGGAGTTCTCAGTAGCAAACCATTTGCCAGAGTGATCAGGCAACAACATGGTAGCAGACTGATTTCACTGGACTACTTGCATCATAGAAAAGAGACCGTGTTGTCTTTTTCTTTTTCTTGTTGTGTACCATTAAGTCAGATCCAACTGGCACAGGAGAGTGATTGCCCTTTTTTCTCTAGCAGAGCATCTGGTGGGTTTGAACCAAATACCTTCAGGATTGCAGCGCATCTACTTGCCACTAAGCCAGCAGAGGCTCCCTGAGAATGTGTTGTCTTCAGTGGAACAGATTCTTACTCTGGATTTGCCGTCTGTGCACACACTTCTGCTAGGACTGTGTTGTGGGTAAGGCATTCAGTGTGCAGCCCTATGTTCTACAGGTCTGGAAGCCTTCATTCCAAATGGAGCAACACTCCCATCTGAAGAGACAACACTGATTCCACAGAACCAGGAGTTAAGAATGTTACCCGGCCACTTCCGTCTGATTGTTGCTGTTGTGTTATTAAGTGCCATGAGTCATGGGCGACTCACAGCGACCCTATGAACGAAAGCTCTGAGCACTTGTATAACTTTCTTCGTTTCTCCAAGTTCATAGGATTTCCAGAGGCAAGCTATTTCAGAAGTGGATGCCACTCCTGCTTCCAAGCTTCTTCCAAACAGGGAGCTCCACCAAACACTGTCCACCATAGGTGACTAATATCACACTTGGCACATCAGGGTCACAGTTCAGCATCACAGCAACCAAGAGTTACCTCTGTAAAGCAAATGGACAGGCCAGTGCTATAGCACTTAAAAGAATGTTTGACCAAAAACAATTAAAATCTGGCCCGAGGGCGGTAAGCTATCATAACTTCCTGCATAAACTGACTCACAACACACTAGCCCTCAGCCTGCAGGAAAGTCCAAGCATTTCAGCATTTAAGAATTCCGGCATGCCCATATGCTGATGGACTGTTAAAACAGAGATCCCCAGTCCATCTGGCAAGTCCCATCTGCTGACACCCACTGGGGACGAAAAGAAAGCCGTAGGAGTCCCGAGCGTTCCATACGTGTCCCTCCTTGAGATGCGAGAGGCCATCATAACTTCCAGCATAAAACCGGCTCACAACACATTAGCCCTTCCAGCTGATTAGGACTCTGAAATAACAGACAAAAAAGGAGTTAACTGCTGTGATTGATCCTGATTACCAGAGAAAACAACTGATAGACACTTTGATATATATATATGATGATATGATATGATAGGGGTAAAGAAGAGGTTTTATGGTCTATGAGGGATTCATGGGGTCACTTTTTAGTAATCAATCATGGTAAGAATTTGCACTAAAAGGTTGAACTTTTAGTAAAGAACCATGACTAGCTGTGATGTTTGCTCAGGGCAAAGGGAATACAGAATGGGCAGTGGAAGCATATGGTTCTAACTAGCATCTACAACAACATAATCAGCTGCAGAAACTAGGATCATAATTAAGACTATTTCTTCCTTATACCTTGCATTTGGTTTTGTTTTTTTAATTTTTAAAAATTGTATTATTTTTATGTGTACCATCAAATCAGATCTGACTGGTACAGGAGATTGCCCCCTCCTTCTCCAGCAGAGCATCTGGTAGATTTGAACCACATACCTCTGGGATTGCAGTGCACCGCCTTGCCACTAGGCCACCAGAGCTCCCTGGCATTTGGTATTTTTGTTTTCACTTATGAAATACAAGTTTCTCAACAGGGTATTTGCAAGCAAGAATACTCTACTTCCCAACAACCTTTGGGTATGTCAGCCCCCAAAGCCAGCAGTAGTCTCAGAATCTGCCTCTCCAGGTGCTTCCACCTTGAGATGTGACCTTCAGATCTTTGATTTGCCTCGAGGAGCAGAGATTATTGTTTTCGTGTGCTGTCGAGTTGAGCATGACTCATAGCGACTCTATGAATAGCTGACTAGAACTCTGCCCTATTCTGTGTCATCCTCATCATTGTGACACACTTGAGCCCACTGCTGAAGTCACAATGCCAATCCATCTCATGAGAGGTCCTCCTTTTCCTTTGCTGACCCTTCATCTTTCTGAAAAAAAATTG